TATTTTTGGACTTTTCCGTGATGCGTTCTTCAATCTGTTTCCTGCATCATGTCTGCCGCTAAATGTTTTTTTTTTTTTTACTTTTAGACAGGGCAGTGGCGGTAGTGTTGATGAATTTTAAGGAAGCGGCATCCTGACAAATCACAAGCTTGCGATCTCTGTCACTTTTGACTGATAGTTAAAAATGTGTGCACGTCTCCGTCCGTCTCTGTGAGCCTGTCAGAGAGCCCTTGTGCTGACTCTGCGTGTCTCCGTACCGACGGAGATGCATAAATAAGCCTTTAGGGTTACAGGAAGCTGGTGCCTGTCTCTAGACTCCAGCAGTCATCAGGCAAGAGACACCATGGACAGGTCACCAGTCCAGTGCTGCAGTCTTTGTAAAAGCTATTGTTTTCAAATTCCATAATGATTCATGTAAAATTATTGTGAAATTTCAGCCGGATGTTCTGTATAGTAAAACTCTTGTTTATGATGCAAATAACCAAAAAAGAAATAAATGAAACAAATATATGGTGGGTGTAAATGTTTGTAAAAATTATTGTTTGCATAAATTAATCATTTGTTTTAGATTTAGGACAGCAGAAACACAAATCAGTTGCTTTTAAGTTTAACCAAAATTAATTTTGTTTTCTTCAAACTGAGGTTGTTCAGACATCTACAACTGCTCCTTTACAGAAAATAGCTTCAATTGATGACGCCTTGGTGTTAACGATGGAGTTAATAGTAATAATAAATAATTGCACGTTTTCTCAAGGCTTGTTACTGTTGTTTGGAAACAAAAGTGACATAATTTATGGTTCCATTTAAATATAACTCTACTAACTTGCTGTAATTAATTTCTGCATCAAAATGTACATTTTGTGTTTGGTCCGATTCAAAGGCAGTTATTTCTTTTCTGATTGGAGCCGACAGTCCACCCCTCCCACAGTGAATCACCGACATCTCTTCTGAGCTCAAACGTGCCCGCATACGCTCCCAAAAATGACGTCTCCAGTGACCAAAGCAATGGTAGAGTCCTACGCGCTCATGGTCATGGTTATGGGTACGTTTTTCATCTATTTCTGCGGGATGGTGTGGGCTTTCTGCAACCCGAAGCTGAGTGAAATGGAGGAAGAGTGCGGGACTGGTGACCGGAGGGATGGAGACGAGGAGCACCGCTGGCCAAGTTCTCCCCAGCGGGACATCAGGTGTGCCTTTGTGCATCCTCCAGCGCTGCCGTGCGCCGCGGAGACTCTCACAGATACCACTTATGTGAATTTCTGGGATGACGACGACAGTCTGCTGTCAGACTGTGCTGCCTCCAGCCGTGATGATTATGGGATTACAAACCAGATTGCAGAAAGTTTCTCCTGGACCGCATAGACTGTCTACAACCCAGTGATGGTAAATCTTTCATTGTCATGATTCTATTTTAATTTGCAGAGATCATTTCTGAGTCAAATGTGTTGCTAGTTTTTCATTTGTACACTTGTGTTATGTCTGATCTGCTGTCTTACACAGAAATACGAAATCAAGCTTTAAATATGCGCATCAGGGGTCATCCTGACATTAAGATTCAAATCCTGCAGGTCTCCTTGGCATGGTGGCTTTCTTTTTCTTTGTCCTTCAGTTTTCCTCTCATGTCCTTTTCTAGTTGAAGCAATTTCTCATACAGTGACTCAGATGTTTCCAGATTTATGTCCATCTACAATTGAGAACACAGAGTATAAAAGGTTTTATTCGATAGGTTTTACAGTGTTTACATTTAATTTGGACTTTATAATATCTGCTGTGCACACCTTATGAGGTTGTGTGTAGCTGTTTCCAAGTGCTGATGTTAAGCTGTGGTACTTAGAGAAGGGGTTCAGTGATTCAGGCTTTTGCAGGAAAACCCAGAACTGTCCCACAAAAAGAGAAAGAATTCAGAACATGATTTTGGACTGTATAAGAAATTTAATTAGATTTCTTACTTACCAGAGCTTCAGATCCATTATAAGTTGTCAGAGTCAACGTGTTGGTGAATATTCGTAACTGTCAGCATAAGATAATTTTTTCATAAGAAACAACGTTTCCCCTTCAATAAAAACTGAACTCACCATCAAAAAGAAAGGCATCAGCAACTTCCAGAGGTAGAATGGGAGGATCCCTATGGTCATATTTGTCAACATAAACCCAGGACAGATGACGGATGAATACAGACCCTGAAAGAGAACGCATCACATGAATTAGTTAGTGTACTGCTGATAACTTTGTATGACTTCATATCCTTTAAGAAAACAATAAAAATGCAGGTTTGATGTACGCACACAGATCCATGGCATGCAAGTTCAGCATAAACAGCCATGTATGAAATTAGACATTTTTTGACAGACGGATGACAAACACCTCTCACCTGCTTGTTGTAGCGGTTGTTCAGGGCCAGACTGAGCAGGTCTGTGGCATATTTCGAGGAGCTGTAGGGCTGAGTGCCTTTCTGGTGCTGGATGTCATCAAGACTGAAGGTTGAGCTAAGAGCGTTACTAGAGGAGGTCCAAACCAGCTGTGAGGTCTGCCCTGCGTGGCACAGGACCGGCTCCAGCTCCCTGACCTGCATCAGAACACAGACAACCACTGATTGTTTTCATTTCTATGAGCTGAGGATCTCCTATCAAACATCAGTGTCTTACCTGCTGTAGATCAGGGGCAAGTGTTGGTGATGGAGCCAAGCTAACGTCTACCCTGACCAGAACCCATTTAGGATCATTTCATTGAGTGAATTTAAGTCATTTTTGAAGGACTGTGAAAATGGCTCTCTGGGAGGATGTAGCTGCCTTACTCACTGAATCAGATTAACTTGAAATGTTTGTACTTCTTTGTTTTTATCTTCTGGATGTGGTGTTTTATTTATTTTTGTGTCTGTGTAAAATTCTTTGTGCTTTTTGTGCTGCTTTCTTGGACCAGGTCAGTCTTGGAAATGAGATTAACCATCTCAATGAGATTTTACCTGGTAAAATAAAGGATTATATATAGGAGCAGCTCAAAGATATTCAAGCAAATACTATTCCTGGTGTTTTTATAAGACAGCTGCTGACATCATCACATGTTTTCTCATTTTTCAAAAGTTAACAGTGATTTTTTTAACCGTCTGCGTGATGACTGCTGAGGATACCATACAGCTGATTAGCTGATCTTTCTCCCAATCTTTCAGTATGATCCGACTCGTACAGATATACTCTCATCTTCAAAAAAAAAATAAACATATTTTCTTCCCTTTCTTAATCAGTCTTGCAGTTGTTTACTTTTGGAACTGGATCAGTGAAACTTTCAGTCAAGACAAAATTAGCTGCTTCTGCTCATGCAGACACACACGGCAGTTCCAAAAGAAAAACTGTCTCGTGCAAAAGTGTTGGAGGTATAAAAATATTTCAGATTCAGTCTACCCAACGGCAAGAGGTTTGTGTTTGAATTGTGCCCTGCTTTGAGTGAGTAGCTGTATCAGCTGGTAGTATGATGACAGAGGTGCTCCACACAAAGCTACAAACACAACATTATATTCCTATAAAGAGTCAAAAATAGATTGCAATCAAAGTGTTCCACGCTGATATTTAACTTAAAAGAGATTCATAGTCTCTCTGACTTTAAACTTTGCAAAGGTCGCAACATAATACAAATATAGATTCATCAAAAAGAGCAGAGTTAGCAGAATAAAGCCTACAGTGACCTTATGGCTGTGTAACACAGTACTGTTAATTTTTAATGAGGATAGTTGCTAGGTGACAAGCAGATTCTGTATCGCTCTTATTTTTTCCATCAGGGACACAAAAGCAGACAGGAACATTTCTTCCTGCATGTAAATGGAGACTTTTGTCACCATTTCTAGTTGGAATCAGACAAGAAAGTATTAAATGCCACCAGGAACTTACTAGAAGGAAGTGACCAAAGAGGTTGGTGGCAAAAACTTCCTGTAGGCCATCATTGGTGATGCCATCCTTCTGGGTCAGGATGCCCTCACCGGTGGAAAACATGTTGATAACATTGCTGAAAAGATAAATTTAAGCAATCTGAGCTCAGAAAAGCATGCTTCACATGGCTACTGGTGGAATTCCGGCCTTTTCAGTAATATGTGATACCAAGGATAGTGAAGTAAGCGAATAACGTGGTGAGAAATAAGCAGTTTACCTGGAGAAGAGACCTTTAACGAAAGCCTTCACGTCAAACTGTGGGTTTGGCATGATCCCTGCATTCAGGTAGAGGTAGTCAAGCCGGGCATACCTGCAGGTGACACTGAGGTTGATCAATATAAACAAAAACAAAAAAATTATGTTTATGTATTTAGCAGACGCTTTTGTTCAAAGAATCAGAATCAGAAAGAATTTTATTGCCAGCGCTCCAGCGAACCAGAGCATAGGAACTTGACTCCACAGAACAGCCTGACAAAGGTTACACACACACACATATAGACAAAACAGAGACAGGCAGACCACGAGAGCAGCCATAACGGCGCTCAGAGCAGCCAAAGCGACTTACAAGTGATAATCGACATGTTGCCCTTGAGGCTAACAACAACAATAACAACAACAACTTGACATCAGTCATGGAGAGGAGGGAACAAGGAGTGGACAGTAGAGAGGGGGGACGGGAGCAGGGAGGGTGCTAGTTAAGAAGATGCTCTCTGAAGAGCAGGGTCTTCAGGAGTTTCTTGAAAATTGAAAAGGAAGCCCCTGTTCTGGTAGCACTTGGTAGGTCGTTCCACATTTGTGGAACGATGCATGAGAAAAGTCTGGATTGTCCTGAGCGTGGTGTAGGCACTGCTAGCCGACGATCCTGTGATGACCGGAGCGGCCGGGCCGAGACGTAAGCCTTTGCAAGAGGATTCAGGTAGATGGGAGCCGTACCATCTCGGACTTTGTATGCTAGTGTTAGCAATTTGAATTTGATGCGTGCTGCTAGCGGTAGCCAGTGGAGCTCAATGAACAGAGGGGTGACGTGTGCTCTTTTTGGCTGATTGAAGACCAGACGCGCCACTGCGTTCTGACCATTTGAAAAGGTCTCACAGTACAGGCTGGAAGACCAGTTAGAAGGGCATTGCAGTAATCGAGGCGGGAGATGACGGTAGATTGCACCAGGAGCTGGGTGGCATGTTGTGTTAGGTGTGGTCTGATCTTTTGTATGTTATACAGCGCAAAGCGGCATGAACGAGCAACAGAGGCAACACGATCTTTAAAGGTCAGGGCGGCGTTAGGCCCGGCTACTTGGGCTCAAGCTCTGAATGTTTTATGAAAAGCCCCAGATCTAAAACGTGGAAGTAACATGCAGTACCAAAGTCCAACAGAGAGGGAGCAGCTGGCAGTAGTTTGTATACAGCCTGCCTGAGCCTCCACCAGTGAAGAAGAAGCCCTTCAGCAGCCGGCTTCTTCTACAGTCTCTGCCTGAAACGCATGAGTGAAGATGGACATGAGGACGTTTTTTAGACCAAAAGTACCGCGACAGAACCCCAGCTTTGATGAGACTGGCGTTGACTCAGGTTTGTGGGTCTTATTTGAAAATATTTGTTGTGCTGCTGGTTTGCCTAAAGTTAGCTTATCAGGTAAAGTTGTTGGAGAAAGAAAAGGAATATTTACTATCATCTCACACTAAACACTAACAGGAACAATACTCTGTCCTGAATATGCTTAATATGTAGCTTCAGATTAAACATTATGTGGTACAAGACATGTATGATGTTGACTAGTGCGTGTCGTGTGTGTGTGTGTGTGTGTGTGTGTGCGTGCGTGCGTGCGTGCGTGCGTTAAGCCCCGGATTTTCTTCAGTCCTAAATCCGCCCCTGGGTCAGGTGTTCATCAATCTCAACACCGAGATTTTGAACTGCCTTTGAAGGAGCCAGAGATAAGAAGTCATTTTGGATTGAGATTGTGCTTTATCTCCCACTCAATCTCAAATCATGTGCCACTAGCCTAGGTCCGAAACTGGACTCTGACCTTTCAATGTCTTCACAAGTCAACGCTACTGTCAAGTCCTGCTTTTTCCAACTCCGCCGCATCACTCCTCTTAAGTCAATCCTCAAACGCCCGGATCTTGAGTCAGTCATTCACTCTTTCATTACTTCACGTCTGGATTACGCAAATTCTGTCCTGATTGGGATGCCCCTGATTGCACTTTTTGTTTTCAGTTGGCCCAAACTGGCCCAAATATTTGATACCACAAGTGAGGCAGTCACCTGAGTTTGAATTCTTGTGCTGCCCTGAGGACAGAGGAGATGCTGCTGGTGTCCATTTGCAGCAGGTCCACCTGGGCTGCAGGGTGAGAGGTGAGGAGGTGAGAGCGAGTGGCCTCAGCTCGCTGCATGTTCCTGCAGGCCAGACACAGCTGGAGACCATCACTGTTGTGTGAGAGGAGACGCTCACAGAGTGCCAGGCCAACTCCACTGCAGGAAACCAGAACACTGATAATACCACCGCTCAGCATGTCAAGGGCCAAAATGAAGTATTTAAATATGACAGCAACACTTTTTATTGTGCTAACAAATCATTTTTCTGTACATTTAATTCTGTTAGTTGAAATAAAAGAAACAGCCTAAAGTATAAGTGCTCCAAACATATGAAGGATTTATTAGTAAAATCACTGATCTTACTGTTTATTAAGAACAATAACAAATTCAGCGGTTACCTGTTTGCTCCAGTCACCAGAACCACCTTGCTCATGTTGTAAAGCTCAACAAGTAACAAGCCAGAAGCTTCTTTTCCAGTTCAAGTGGAGTCATGTTATCCTGCTCTGCCTCCATGGTCTGATTGGACACTGTAGCTGCTCTTCAGCCAATGGGATCATGACACTCATCAGGTCAGCCCCAAAGGCCCGCCCACACTGAATAATTCAGTCATTTTTAAATTATTCAGCAATAATGAATGAAAACCAGTCTTCCACAGAAGTCGGTTCCCTGTTTACATTTTATTTGTTTTATCTAACAAAAGTTGTTTACATTGCGTATCAAAATTTATTAATAAAATACACAATTTTGGAGTACAAAAGTCATAAAACTAAACAGAACAGGACTTTGACGGGGTGCTATCACACTAGTAAAGCTTCACATTTTTTATCGACTTGTTTGTAGGATTAGAGATTTCATTATCTAAATCTTCACTGTTTCTACTAAAGACATCTTTCATCAGGTAATCCATGACGGTTAATGGATCAATGAACATGCTCAGAGTTAAAACTCAGAGCAGACACATCAAGGATCCTGAATCTATCAATAAATACCCCAAATGAATGCAGAGATGAGCTGTTCCGTTGTTCCTTTTCAACTTGATCTGCCCTGAAAATGGAACACTGACATCTTACACGTTTGTTCTGCGTTTTCCTTCCATTGTTTTCATTATTTTTTGAATACAGCACAGTAAAAGATTTGTTTTTACCTCGTTTTGCTGACGAGTTTCTGCTAACGCTGTAGCCTTCCTCGGAGCACTGCCGATGTTGGCGGCAGAAGCAAGTAATGTCACATACATCAGCGGTACTCCGAGGAAGGCTACAGCAAAACAAGGTAAAAACAAATCTTCTACTATGCTGTGTTTAAAAAGAATTAAAACAAAAAAAAATGGACATTGTTCCAATTATTTTAACTAACATCATTCAACCAATTTACAAAAACTTGTCTGATGAGCACCCCCCCAGAGTCTCGTTAATTTGCATGAGAACACACTGCTGAGCACAATTTTGGGTCAAACTTCAAACCGTTTGCAGCGGGTTATAAAATCTGTCAGAAAATCAGGAACAATTGTTGCAGTTAATCGTAGAAGACACTCCAGTTAAGGAAGCAGATTATTACACATGCACATCAGTAATACATAACCAGAGTACACAAATATAAACATATAAATATTAACAGAAAAAATTATATTTGAGATGCATACACATTTATACTTCAATCACCGTAGGAAAGTGGCAAGGGGGTGAAAAACAGAAATTCATCCTTTAAATGTCAGCCATTTCTTTGAAAATGAGATGAAATACTGATAATATGACAAAACTAACAGTAACTAATGGTTTGCTGCACTTTTCCCTTCTACATTCAAGCAGTCCACCAAAAGAAAACACAACAAAGTTCTTCAGTGAGGATTCTCAAACACTAACATACAAAAATGTGAACCAATAATAACTAAAATTTACAAAGAGTTACAAAAGTGCCAAATGTCACTTGCTACATAAAAAATTTGGTCTCTTCAACACCTGACACAACCACAGTTCACTTCTGTTCATATTTGAATGACGATGTGCTTTCACTAATAGAGTTTTTGTCTATAAAATGTGTTCTTTTGCTAAACAGAGTCAAACCAAAACAACGTCGTCCCTCTTCATCCATCTTTCCCGAGACAGAATCTCCATTCATCATCTCTGCTGAAACTGAACAGCTTAAACCTGGACTGCGTCTCCTATTGTTGCCTCCTCTTGAGCAGATTGTGAAATGTTTCGAGTATTTTAAGGCTGTAAATCCAAGAGGGCTTTGTGTATTTCCTGGAAGGAGGGTCGCTCCTTTGCGTTCCTCCTCCAGCAGCTCAGCATGATCTGGTAAAGTGAGTCTGGACAAAGGACAGGTTGAGGCAGGTAGATCTGCAAGAAAGTGGGAAAGAAATGAAGTCTGGCAGACTATTTAAGTTAAAAAAGTGTTTTTTAATAACACACACCTGTCGTTTCTGGTCCCTGAAAAACTCCCCAGTGTTTTCTATCACCTGCTCGTCAGTGAGCTGAGAGTACGGCTGCTCCTTACAGAAGTTCAGTACTTCCCACAGAGTCACGCCAAAGGCCCAAACATCGCTCGCTGTGGTGAACTTACCCTGCACAAGTAAAAGCAGTCAGCTTGTTTGTACTGCTGCCCAAATGTTGTAGAAACTGTAGGTAAACTTTAATAGGACTCTGAGAAACACAAAAAAAATCATCAAACACAAATGCTCACCATAAGCACAAAGGCAAAATCTCGGGCGTGGGAGGAGTTTGGTGAGGCCATGGAGAAAGACTATCGATCGGCTCCAAAGAGGTTCTGGCAAACTGTCCGGCGCCTCAGGAGAGGAAGGCAGCAACTCGCTCACACTGTTTACAGTGGGGATGGGGAGCTGCTGACGTCAACTGAGGCTATAGTCGGACGGTGGAAGGAATACTTTGAGGAGCTCCTCAATCCCACCAATGCGCATTCCGAGGAGGAACCAGAGCTGGGAGGCCTGGGGATGGACTGTCCGATCTCGGGGGCAGAAGTTGCTGAGGTAGTCAAACAACTACACAGAGGCGGAGCCCCGGGGGCGGATGAGGTTCGTCCTGGGTATCTCAAGGCTATGGATGTTGTAGGGCTGTCATGGTTGACACGTCTCTATAACATTGCGTGGTCATCGGGGGCAGTTCCTAGGGAGTGGCAGACCGGGGTGGTGGTCCCCATCTTTAAGAAGGGTGACCTGAGGGTGTGTTCCAACTATAGGGGGATCACACTCCTCAGCCTCCCTGGAAAGGTCTACGCCAAGGTACTGGAGAGGAGGGTCCGATCGATAGTTGAATCTCAGATAGAGGAGGAGCAATGTGGTTTTCGTCCTGGCCGTGGAACTGTGGACCAGCTCTATACCCTTGCAAGGGTGATGGAGGGGGCATGGGAGTTTGCCCAACCAATCCACATATGCTTTGTGGATTTGGAGAAGGCTTATGACCGTGTCCCCAGGGGCATCCTGTGGGGGACGCTCCAGGAGTATGGGGTGGGTGGCTTTCTGTTAAGGGCCATTCAGTCCCTTTACCAGAGGAGCGTGAGTTTGGTCCGCATAGCCGGTAGTAAGTCGGACCTGTTCCCAGTGAGGGTTGGGCTCCGCCAGGGCTGCCCTTTGTCACCAGTTCTGTTCATCACTTTTATGGACAGAATTTCTAGACGCAGCCGTGGTGTGGAGTGTGTCGAGTTTGGTGGCAGGAGAATCTCGTCTCTGCTTTTTGCGGATGATGTGGTCCTCCTAGCTTCATCCAGCTCTGACCTTCAGCTCTTGCTGGGTAGGTTCGCGGCCGAATGTGAAGCGGCTGGGATGAGGATCAGCACCTCCAAATCTGAGACCATGGTTCTCGACCGGAAAAGGGTGGCTTGCCACCTTCGGGTCGGGGGAGAGGTCCTACCTCAAGTGGAGGAGTTTAAGTATCTCGGGGTCTTGTTCACGAGTGAGGGTAGGAGGGATCGGGAGATCGACAGGCGGATTGGTTCGGCGTCTGCAGTGATGCGGACGCTGAGCCGATCTGTCGTGGGGAAGAGGGAGCTGAGCCAGAAAGCCAGGCTCTCGATTTACCGGTCGATCTACGTCCCAATCCTCACCTATGGTCATGAGCTTTGGGTAATGACCGAAAGAACGAGATTGCGGATACAAGCGGCCGAAATTAGTTTCCTCCGTAGGGTGGCCGGGCTCAGCCTTAGAGATAGGGTGAGGAGCTCGGACATTCGGGAGGGACTCGGAGTAGAACCGCTGCTCCTCCGGATCGAAAGGAGCCAGTTGAGGTGGTTTGGGCATCTGGTCAGGATGCCTCCTGGACGCCTCCCCGGGGAGGTGTTTCGGGCATGTCCTGCCGGCAGAAGGCCCCCGGGTCGACCCAGGACACGTTGGAGAGGTTACATCTCCAATCTGGTCCGGGAACGCCTTGGGGTCCTGCCGGAGGAACTGGTGGACAAGGCCGGGGAGAGGACGGCCTGGAGCTCCCTAATTGGGATGCTGCCCCCGCGACCCGGACCCGGATAAGCGGAGGAAGACGAAGACGAAGACAAATGCTCACCAGCAGGATGCTCTCCCAGGACATCCAGCGAATAGGCAGCACCGCTCGGCCCTGGATGCGGTAGTAGTCGCCGCTGTACAAGTTCCTGCTCATGCCAAAGTCAGCTATCTTTATTGTGTAGTTTTTGCCCACCAAGCAGTTCCGTGTGGCTAAGTCTCGGTGGACAAACTTCAGGGAGGAGAGGTACTTCATCCCCGAGGCCATCTGAGTGGCCATGTAGCACAGGTTACTGAAGCTGGAGGGGAGACAAGAGGGATATCATCATCTGCTGGCGGGCATTAAACAAAAAAGTTTAACACACCAGCTGTTTACTGACCTGACAGTGGGAGCCTTGCTGAAAAGAGCAAGTTGTCCCTCGGGTTCGTGGTGAGACAAAAACTGGTTGAGGTCTCCATTTTCCATGTACTCTGTAATCATACAAAGTGGGTCGCTGTAGATGCACACAGCCAGCAGGCGGATGATGTTGGGGTCTTTTAAACGTGACATGATCTTTATCTCTTTAAGGAAGTCATTCCTGCAAATTAATTTTCACACATTAACAAAGGTTTTAACTGTGTTTTTATTTTATTTTATTGTCTCTTCTATGGTTTGCTTTCAGCTTCAGCCACAAAGGCACCTTGCATTCTTGTTGGCATCTGAACGGAGCATCTTCACAGCCACCAAGACCGGCTGGTCCTCAGGAACATCAAACAAATAGTCCTCATCCATGAACTCCTGCATTCCCTCTGCTTCACACAGATGTACCTAAGTCAGAGGCAACGTGACAGCGTTAACCTGTGTTTTATGTTACCTGCAGCTTTAGCAGCAGCTGCCTACTACTAACAGACTGATACCTCTCCAAACTGGCCCTCTCCCAGCTTCTCTTTAAATATGAGCAGTTTTCGAGGGAACTCCTCCACAGCAACATCCTTCCCAGATAGCAAGTCCATAGTTACAGCAGGGATTGCATAGGTGTTGCTTCCTGTCACACCTTGCAAGTTGACGATGTCTGCTTCTGCGTAGTGAGGAGCGCCATCCTGGGATTGGGAAGCTGCTGTGCTGGTTGAAGCTGGAACACAACACGTGACACTGTAACTACAACATAGCAAGAACATTTCTGTAAAGCAGACCCATGTATAGAAGACTTACCGGGCTCTTCTAAGCTCTGTGCAAACTCTGGCAGCTTAAGTATGAGGCGTGATGGCTCCTGGTAGTCTGGGCCAAGTGGAAAAATGTGCTCGTACGCCGAACTAGACTCCTGCTCGTTGGTCGTACTCGACTGGTTGTTATTGTAGACAAATGTCTCACTCTGTATTGACAAGCTAGCAGTTAGTTCATCATCCAGCATCCGACGGGAGGCCTAGAATGAAGGATGTGGTGGGTGAAGGGACAAATCTGACCAAGAGAACATTTTTATGGGAGAAAGCTCACCTTCTCCATCATCTTCTGCCACACCTGCCTCCATAAGATAATCACAATGATGGCCACAAGGATGAAGATGATCGCCACCAAACAGCCAATCAGAATCCGAGTGTTGCTGTCATCAACTTTGTGTGTGGGGTCGTCCTCTGGAGAGGGACGAGGAGAAACACCTTTGAGGACATTGAAAAGACATTTACATGTTGGAGCTTTACAGATGAAAAGGCTAAACCTTTCTTTAGCACATTCACTGAGCAGTTACATTTGTTGTATTCTTTCAAATTTCACAACATTACAACAACAATGCTCAGATGGAGTAGGCTGAAGCAAAGAAGCTTCTGTGCACCTACCCCACATTACAATATTATACTATTTACAATATTAGACTTATTGACAGTAAATTTTTTGTTAATTAACCTTTCATGCATATTTTGCTATTCAATTTTATATTTTGTACTGTTCTTTTATACAACACAGTCAGAATAAAACCAAGAAGCTTTTCCATCACATTTTCTCAACATATTTCTCAGTGTGTTTATGTTTATGTTTATTTATTTGGCAGACGCTTTTATCCAAAGCGACTTACAACTCATAACCTATAGGGCATGTTGTGATCTGTGGGGGAAACTGGAGTACCTGGAGGAAACCCACGCATGCATGGGGAGAACACGCAACTCCACGCAGAAAGGCTGCAGCCGAGTTTCGAACCTGAGACATTCGTGCTGCGAGGCAACAGTGCTAACCACTGCACCATACAGCCCAATAACAGCTCAATAACCGTCGTCTTATATTGTCTTTTAAATTGTAGTAGACTAGCAGCACTCTGTAAGTTGTCATCTAAACCATTCCAAAGCTTAACACCTCTTCTGGATATGCAGTGAGTTTTGAGGGTTGTGTGGGCGCATACCACCTTGAAATAATTTGATTCCCGCAAATCGTATCCACCCTCTCTGTCAATAAACAGCTGTTACATGTTGATTGGTAATCGACTCTGTCTTGCTTTGTACAAAATTAGCATTGACTTTAGGTTAACTAGATCTTCAAGTTTTAAGATTTTAGACTTCATGAAAAGTGTATTAGTATGGTCTGTGAAACCAAAATTATGTACAATCCTAATAGATTTTTTTAAGTCTAAATACTGCCTCCAAATGGCTACTGTAGGTATTACCCCAGACCTCTGCTCCATTTTGATTCTGATTTCAATGTCTTTAGTTTGTTTACCAAACGGCATCATTTTTGTTTTTGATATATTTAAAGATAATTTGTTTTTGTTAAACCAGTCTTTAAGTTTTTCTAATTCTGCTGTCATCTCCGTCACAAGTAACTGTAGATCGTAACCTGAACATAATATTGTAGTGTCATCAGCAAATAAGATGATTTTGAGTTTTGATGATACCCTGCATATATCATTTATATATAGAAGAAACAGTATTGGTCCTAAGACAACCTTGAGGGACTCTACAATTTGTATTTCTGAGTCTTGACCTGTGATCATTTATCTGTACGTATTGCTGTCTGTTGCACATTGTTTCAATAAAAGGCCAACTCCACAAACTAAACATTCATAAATAAAGGGCGTCTAAAAACAGAGAATCTGTCATTGAAGTGAATGTCAAAACCAAATTGTTGTTTAATGGCAAGTGATTGTGTGACAACACTCACCTGGTTGTGGGTTTAATGGGATCACTGCTTTGGGTGTAACCAGTGTGGTGTTGTACATGGCTGTATCTGGAACAATCCAAATTAAAAAAAACAATTAAAACAAACTCAAGATGAAGAAATACAGTTTAGCAATACATTACAATAAGTTTAGCTAAATACATTAGCAATAGGGGAACTAGGCAGTTTTGGCTTGCTTTTAGCACCCCCTAGTGTCTGTTTGTAGAATGTATGTTCATGTTTTTAACACCTTAATCAAAAAGCTGAAACAACTCCCCAGCCTTCATTAGCATCTACAGGAGTGATTCATCATTAAATTAAACAAACCAGCTGTGTTCATGATCTAAAACATGCAGGAAACGTGCTGGAACCAGATTGCAGCACCAGTTATGTCAGCTCCCAACAGGGCAGCCTGCCACTCTGAAGTTGCAAGTGGAATATTCTGGCCACACGGCACGATAGGGGCTGGGTGGCCTTTCATTAACCCTGAAAACGTCGTTTTGGCACATAATGGCTCAAGAAAATGATTTAAAATATGAAAACGTTGTATAGTATGACTTTAAGGCTGTCAATTTATTGGAGCACTTTTATTATTATTCTGTTCAAGTGATGTCTGTTTTTACACGCTGCAGCTATGGAAAAGTCATATAATGTCAATGAAAATAGCTAAAGACTCGGAGAAATGTCCTCATACACAACTATGGGACTTTGGTGAAACCCTGCCTAATTTGGACTCTACACACAACACAGACTTCCCAATAGAAACATTCTTCCGTGTTTAACACACACAGAAGGCTGGACTTTTCCTGACTGAACTGGAATTTTAATTTATTTTACATTTTAATGAAAATTTAGTAAAAATTCTTTCGACTTTTTTCTCTGTCGAAACTTTGTACATAAACAAATTATACATCAAAATGTTGACATTTTTGTTTCTTACCAGCCACTCCTATAAAACTCAGTTTTCTCTCAAAGTTTAGAGATTGTACGCCCACGCTTTAACAAACTTGTAATGTCAAAAAGAGTTTTGTCTTGTTAACTTGTCATTTGTAATTTGTCTACAAACTGTAGACTCATGACGATGTGGTCGGTGTGTCCTATCATGGATTATTGGCACCCCTCAGTATTTCTTCAGAATTATTCTAATTTCAGTTAAAATAATAAAGAAAGGATATTAAGCATGACTAAAGTCTTGCTGCAGTTTCAGATGATGCACCCAGCTCTGCTGTACCTGACTGGAAGGTGATCTCGCTGAACAGCATCCAAGCATCAGCAAAGTAGAACTGGCACTTGATGGCACTGGCCATGTGATTGGCCAGGTTGACGGTGACAAAGCGAGCACTTGGATTCTTTTCATCCTTCACTGGGCTGAAAGAGAGTGGAGTGGCTTCCCAGTCCAGATCAGAACGAAAGTAACACACCACCTGTCTGAAGGCCTTGACATGCTGGGAGTACATGTTGTTGCAGTGGACCTGTGCACACGGGTATATTAGTTTCAGTATCAATAGAAAATAGTGGTGTGTGTCATCTGGTTTTTATCAGGTTCCTCACCTTCATGGAGGTAAAGTTTCGTGTACGGTCAAACTCAAACATGATTTCAACAAATCCATCAGGGAAGCTGTTGTTGTTCCAGCCCACATAGTCATACCCTGGCCAACCAATGTGGACGTGGCTCAGAGTGAAGTCATCTTCACCACACACTCCATCAGTCAGCAGGCCCAGACCTTCTGTCATACTGGGAAAAAAAAGAATGTTATAGAAGTTTAACACAAGATGGCAGCGTTTTCTAACAAACTCCTCTGTGGATTCTGGCCATCAGGTTCTAACGAGGCCCGTTTTCCTTCCTTCATCAGTGGCAAGCATCCCCGTCACGGAGGATATTATTCATTGTGACATATTGAACCCTGGTGGGTTCTTTCTGGTTTTGAAACGTTATACTCAGAGTGACTCAGTGATTCCCATGAAGAATTTTCATGACATGTTGCTTAGTTTTTACCATGGTACCAGGGCAAAGAAACACTGTGATGAGAGATGAGAGGAGTTTTAGTTAAAGGATAGAGGAAATACCATCTACATCCACTCACCTGTGGATGATGGCTCCATCATAGACAGAGTCGTTGAGGTAAACAGGGTAAGCAGGCAGGCTCATCTGCTGTCCTACTGGAGAATTGTATGAAACTAGACCGTCTGTAAAGAAATAAAAATGTTTTGTGTCAAACAGCAGCCTGTCAGGACTTTTAGTTTATTTAAAACCATACAACCTATGTTTACAACACTAGAGGCTGTCTGGGGTCTCCAAACCAGCAGGGGGTCTCCAGAATTAAAACTGCTCTGTTAGATGATAAAAGGTTTTTTATGACCTGAATAAGGCCCAATCCCAATACTTGCACCTATGGTCTTCAGTGGTGTACACTTGGAGGAAGTGTGCAGTAAGGCTTCGAGTTCGTAGTACAAAAATGTGCAAATAATTGCTGAATTGGGACAGTGAGCAATGCGTCATCGACCACAATGCATGCTGGTTGCTGTTTGTGCAACTTCTTTTCTAATTGCCATGCACATAAATCTTAGTCAAAAAAATTCAGAGCATGAATAAATATCATTGACTGTCTTAACCCTCCCACTGTCTTTATGGGTGACCCCGCGAGGAAAGTTGACCATTGAGCAGGATTGATGGTTTATCCCTTGAGGTCCACGTGGCAGGGGTGAGGTGGTGCTCACTCCTCACCCCTGCCACATGGACCCAAGGGATAAACCATCAACCCTGCTCAATGGTCTACTTTCCTCACAGGGACACACCCATTAGGACAGTGGGAGGGTTAAAACGAACTTTTGTTTGAAAACACATATTTTCAGAAAAGGCAGTTGACCCATTGTTCCACCTTCTTCTCAAAATTCTCACACAGCAATGGATTGTGAGTAAACCCTTTGCCTAAGTCAGGGGTCGGCAACCTGTTCCCATCAAAGAGCCATTATTACCCGTTTCCCACAGTAAAGAAAACACTGGGAGCCACAGCAGCCGCAGCGTTGTGGGCGGGGCCTACCCTCAGACAGCAGAGAGCTGCTTTAACCAATCACAACAGGTGACAGCAGCCGGTACCGGTCGCTCGTGTACGTCAAAGTCATCTTTCATAAGACGATAATCAATAAAACGATTTATATAAAGTGGATCCAGAAGTTGTAGCCCATCTCTGCCTACAATATTTTGATATTTTTCACCCTGTTGGTGGTTTTACTGAGCAGGTGCCACTTTTGTCATACGTTTCTTTTTAAAACATGTTTAGGCTGTTCAGAATACAAATCCAGGCTCTGTCACATTTGATTGTTGCAATTAAACTTTGTAGGTGGGGAAGGTCAGAAAAGGATCCGATCAATTTGTTTTTCCCTCATTTACAGTGACGGAGATAATGGTGCAGTGCGCCTGGCTCTGGTGTTAATCAAGTTAAATTATATCTCTTTGCAAAAATGTTCACAAGAAAACAGAACAGTTAAAAGCAGGGCTTGTGTTGACCGGACAGTTCCCGTATTTGACCATTTATTTTGACGGAGAAAGAATAGAAAGAATTACCCCGACGCATGCAGACGAACTGACATTATATTCGTTTCGCACATCGCAGATGTAGCTAAATCACTCAAGAAAAGATTCCCATCTGAACATCCGAGATGGACACTGCTCAGCGCAGCTCACTGTCAGCGCGTACGTATGGTGCACAGCGAGCTGAAGATGTGGAGAGGGGCTTGGAGCACGTCGCAGAACCAGAGCGCATGCGGGAAGATTCCTCCGACTGAAGTGAGACTTGTCACTTTGAAAATGTTCCCTGATTACGAAACTTTGGCTGAATAGTGCTTGTTCCTGTCTCCAATGTGGCGACACATCCAGGAGCCGTCTGAGGAGAATCCCAGAATCTCACATCCTCTTCAGCTCAGAAAGCGCCGATATGATTACTCACAAGCGTGACGCGTCAACCCGGTCTCATAGTAAGACCGGGTTGGAACTGTTCAGGTTTACGCAGACAATCTTTACATTTAGAATTGTCATACAGGTGTAAAATTAATGCAGTAAAATATAAAGCATTTTATTTAAATATCCATTCATTATTTTACAAGCACAGAGAGCCACATCAGATGGATGGAAGAGCCGCATGCGGCTCCAGAGCCGGGGGCCGGGGTTTGCCGACCCCCGGCCTAAGTCTTGGGCAAAGTGCAGTTCAAAGGTATAAAAGAGGCGTGGTAAACTTCCGCAGTTGAAGATCGAGACATGCACTCGCCGCCCTGGACTGGATTGCACACTTGAAGGGCACAAGGGTGGAAGTGTGAGTATTAGGATTGGGCTTACGCCTTGACATCTGAGTGAAGAGAGGAGCGGAGCTGTCAACTGATCACCACCTGGTGGTGAGTTGGATCAGATGGCAGGGGAAGATGCCGCATAGACCTGGCAGACCCAAATGCATAGTGAGGGTCTGCTGGGAACGCCTGGCAGAAGAACCTGTCAAGACGGTCTTCAACTCCCACCTCCGGCAGAGCTTTGACCACGTCCCGAGAGCAGAGGGGGGACATTGACTCCGAGTGGGCCTTGTTCCACTCTGCGATTGTTGAGGCGGCTGTTGCTAGCTGTGGTCGCAAGGTGGCCGGTGCCAGTCGTGGTGGCAACCCCCATACCCGCTGGTGGACACCAGAGGTTCGGGGAGCCGTCAGGCTGAAGAAGGAGGCCTACAGGGCGTGGCTGGTCTGTGGGTCTCCGGAGGCAGCAGACGGGTACCGGATAGCCAAGCGGGGTGCAGCAGTGGAAGTTGCCAAGGCAAAATCTCGGGCGTGAGAGGAGTTTGGTGAGGCCATGGAGAAAGACCATCGATCTGAGCCAAAGAGGTTCTGACAAACTGTCCGGCGCCTCAGGAGAGGGAGGCAGCAACTCGCTCACACTGTTTACAGTGGGGATGGGGAGCTGCTGATGTCACCTGGGGCTATAGTCAGGTGGTGGAAGGAATACTTTGAGGAGTTCCTCAATCCCACCTACGCCCATTCCGAGGAGGAGCCAGAGCCGGGAGACCAGGGGATGGACTGTCCAGTCTCTGGGGCAGAAGTTGCTGAAGTAGTAAAAAACTACACAGCGGCGGAGCCCCGGGGGTGGATTAAATTTGTCCTGGGTATCTCAAGGCTATGGATGTTGTAGGGCTGTCATGGTTGACACATCTCTGCAACATTGCGTGGTCATCGGGGGCGGTTCCTGTGGAGTGGCAGACTGGAGTGGTGGTCCCCATCTTTAAGACGAGTGGCCTGAGGGTGTGTTCCAACTATAGGGGGGTCACACTCCTCAGCCTCCCTGGAAAGGTCTACTCCAAGGTACTGGAGAGGAGGGTCCGATCGATAGTTGAATCTCAGATTGAGGAGGAGCAACGTGGTTTTCGTCTTGGCCGTGGAACTGTGGACCAGCTCTATACCCTTGCAAGGGTGATGGAGGAGGCATGTGAGTTTGCCCAACCAATCCACATGTGTTTTGTGGATTTGGAGAAGGCTTATGACCATGTCCCCAGGGGCACCCTGTGGGGGACGCTCCAGGAGTATGGGGTGGGTGGCTTTCTGCTAAGGGCCATTCAGTCCCTTTACCAGAGGAGCGTGAGTTTGGTCCGCATAGCCGGTAGTAAGTCGGACCTGTTCCCAGTGAGGGTTGGACTCCGCCAGGGCTGCCCTTTGTCACCGATTCTGTTCATCACTTTTATGGACAGAATTTCTAGACGCAGCCGTGGTGTGGAGTGTGTCGAGTTTGGTGGCAGGAGAATCTCGTCTCTGCTTTTTGCGGATGATGTGATCCTCCTAGCTTCATCCAGCTCTGACCTTCAGCTCTTGCTGGGTAGGTTCACGGCCGAGTGTGAAGCAGCTGGGATGAGGATCAGCACCTCCAAATCTGACACCATGGTTCTCAACCAGAAAAGGGTGGCTTGCCAACTCCGGGTCGGGGGAGAGGTCCTACCTCAAGTGGAGGAGTTTAAGTATCTCGGGGTCTTGTTCACGAGTGAGGGTAGGAGGGATCGGGAGATCGACAGGCGGATCGGTTCAGCATCTGCAGTGATGCGGACGCTGAGCCGATCTGTCGTGGGGAAGAGGGAGCTGAGCCAGAAAGCCAGGCTCTCGATTTACCGGTCGATCTACGTCCCAATCCTCACCTATGGTCATGAGCTTTGGGTAATGACCGAAAGAACAAGATCGCGGATACAAGCGGCCGAAATTAGTTTCCTCCGTAGGGTGGCCGGGTTCAGCCTTGGAGATAGGGTAAGGAGCTCGGACATTTAGGAGGGACTCGGAGTAGAACCGCTGCTCCTCCGGATCGAAAGGAGTCAGTTGAGGTGGTTTGGGCATCTGGTCAGGATGCCTCCTGGACGCCTCCCCGGGGAGGTGTTTCGGGCATGTCCTGCCGGCAGGAGGCCCCCGGGTCGACCCAGGACACGTTGGAGAGGTTACATCTCCAATCTGGTCCGGGAACGCCTTGGAGTCCTGCCTGAGGAGCTGGTGGAGAAGGCCGGGGAGAGGACGGTCTGGAGCTCCCTAGTTGGGATGCTGTCCCCGCGACCCGGACCCGGATAAGCGGAGGAAGACGACGACGACCTACACTGTGACTACATTCTTAAAGAAGTTTAATGCTCATCTACTTCCAGATCATGGGTCCCCTACTGCCCAGAGAAATTAATGTGAGTGAGCCGATAAAAGTTATTTTCTGATCCCGTTTGATTGATTTCACATATGATGTTTTTTAATTTTAAAGACACATTTCAATGCTCTTTTTTTGACATGTGGCAAAAGTTTTTTTAGGTTTGGGTGACAAGACGTGGAGAATGCCAACTGCTCATCTCACCAAACTGGCGCCATCGAACCAGACATGGAGAAGAGAAGAAAAATGTTTGTGAGTTTAATGAGCTTCACATCCTTCTTCCAGGACGACAGGGGCATTAAACGTGGAGAAAACCACCATAAATCTGGTCATATGGAGAGTAGCAGCTACGCTAAGGGAGAAGAGATTCTGCAATGACATAATTTAAGCAACTTTTGATTGTCATTTTAATTCTGAATTTATACAAGCTAATAAATCTCAAACGACATGACAGACATGGCTGAAACACACATACATATTTGTCTTTTACAATACATACGTGTGATTCTGGGCATGAGGTAAAGCAGACCAGAAATTTACTTTTATAGCTCTGTTACATTCATCTTTTTTTTCCCGATCAGAAGACCCATGAGCAAACCGAATACGGAGGAGGTTTAGGCTCCTAATAAAAAAAAATGAAGACCTTAAAGTTTTGAGAAGGAACAATTTCTCAAAAGAAAAACGGAAACCCAACAATAAAATGTTTCATTGTCTGTTCCTGTTGTTTTAACACCTGCAACTACAAATAAATGTAAAATTTTTAATAACATTGGAATGATTTATTTAATTACAAATACAATAAGATGATGAATCTGTTGAAAGTAAAATCCACACAAATCAAACATGAACAATAAAGAGGGGATTTCATTGCTGAGTTTGCTAGCAGGGATTTAAGACTGTGAGCTTGTTTTAATTTACTAAAAATATAATTAATTTAACAAAGGCTCCAAATCAAGACCACAAATTACTGAAGGCAGAACAAAACCAAATGATAAAAGATTTGAAAAGGAGCCTTTGTCTTTGACAGACTATTTGCTGTTAATGAAGTCTTTTTGATATTTAAAATGAAAAGAACTAAACAGAAGTACAAATGATGAACAAACAGTACTGACATGTAACATCAGCTGAGATCTGAAACATGAAACTTACCCAGCCATTCACAGCCATAGAGCTCCACTCTCATGCAGACGTTCATGGAGTGGTCGATCACAGGCATGAAGCGAACCAAGCGAGCGATGATGGGTGGCTGCAGGTCCCTGAGTGCGATATCATAGGTGTTCCTGTTGCCCTCAATCACCTACAGATAAAACAAACCTGATGACCATGGAATGACAATCACAGTGCCTATTGGATAAATCCCCCTTTCTAATATATATATATATTAAATATAAATATTGCCCATTTCTGTCTTGTTCCAGTAGCCCCTTTTTTATCAGGGTGCTCTGGTTCCCCAGCTGTCTCAGTCCAGATAAGTGCAGTTCTAGGAACAGCTGAGATACTGCACTGAACCCTCAAGCTCCCAGGCCTCTGGTGAGATGGGAATCTTCATTTTTTTATATGAGTTACCTGTTTTCCCTGTCTGTTTCTCCATGAGATCCAGCGACTGCCATCACGGCTGTACTTAATCTTATACATCTGGGCAAACTCATTGCCCATTCCCCCAGCATGGCGACCCTGGGTGCCCACAAGGGTGATGAAGTAGAGCGAGCGCAGGTCGACCTGGAGGAACTCCTTCAGATGGTCAGGTTCAACGGTTATCTCTGGGCACCAGGCGCCATCGCCCTCCTCACAGTCCAGTCTATGGGGAAACATATAAGGCGAGAAAAGGGAAACCGTGAAAGTAGAAGATAAATACGGACAGGGTAAAGAAGAAATGTTGAGAGCTGCTGAATCCTGAAGTATAAACATGTTGGTGAAAGGCTGTGCAGTAAATGCTTTAAGTGTTATTTTAGAGTAAGGGGCTGTCAGCGGAGAGGTGGAGCAGCGCTGACATCATTATCAGGTTGGAGGGGGAAAGGGTATGACATCATTATCCTAACACTTAATGAGGGCCACCCACACATATGGTGTTTAATCTGTGAGGTTACAATTTGGGCAGGTATGCTGGTTTATGGTTTAATCCAAAATAAAGAGGCACAGCAGTAAAAGCCATGTAAACAGTCATTGTCACTGCTACCTCACAATAAAACCAGTGTGATGAAATCTGCTTCAGATGTACCTGCCATATCTGGCAGCAGTGGATTCAGACCACTGGCTGGATGCAGATATGTCTTCGTCTGTTATCTGCCCCCCTGACATCCCCAGAGCGTAGCGACACACAC